ACTTACCTAGCATGTTGTGGGCAAGAGCGTGTGAAAAAAGCACTGTGATATAGTCTAAGTGTCAATGTGAAATTGTGAATATGGCATGCACTGAAGTTCTGGAGCCGATGATGGATCGATGATATCCGCGTTGTTGTTCGAGATGTTTGCTAGTGCACTTACTAGTATACTGGTAACTGCAGAGGTTCGCAGCGGAGTTTTAATCTGCTCTTGCCCTCATCGTGCATGTCACCTTCCTGAACTCAACGACACGGCCTCGAGCTTCAAGGATGCCATGCGATATCGGCATTCTCTCCGTGTGGGCACTGGGGATTAATTACGACCAACAATCTAGCGTGCCTTGAGTTCGTCTGACTTGATCTTCGACCTTTGGTATTCGCATATGCGCCCATTAAAAGTCGCAAGTCTCATGATCAAATTAACTGGACATCGGCTCTGAGGATCTTGGTACTTCCTCTTACACTTTTCAGGCCTTAGTCTGGCTCGAAGAAGGTCATGACAGGTCTATTATCCGGGCACGTACATTCAGCAAATACCCAGTAAGTAACACACCACACGCTAGCTTAACTATATGAAGACAAATATTTAAACTTGCGCGACATATACAGGTATTTCAATTGTTCTTTTTGATTTTGATTTCGCTTTGGCTAATATGATACACTTACAGATGAGTAGAATGATTCTGATACCTCTCGTGACGTGTACCCTCTGTGTTCTCATGTACCAGATACTGACGAGCTTTACCAAACAGTTTCATGTATTCTTGTCACTATCGTGTAGAGATGACTATATGCCAGGGTATGTGGCGATGTCGGTACCTAGCCGCAGACCTTTAATATACATCAATGCGCGATTGCTTGATATGTGCGTGAACTAAGCGCGTCGATGCGTGTGTGCTGATATTGGAGTTGTGCTGTTGGGTCGATTGTTTATCGGTTCTGATAGGACGTCGACCGGAGCGGCACGATCGCGTTCAACGAAGTACTGTTTCCCTATTCTATCTCATCTTCCTATCGATCTAATTGAGATTAGTTCTGTGGACTCTGGAAATACATCAAGGTGCGTACATGCGCCTAGCTCCACCTACACGGCTTATCAAAAAACTATCAATAGGACTGGCAGAACGTATTCCGCCACTTCGACAGAGACCGCTCCGGCACCATCGACCGTAACGAGCTCCGCGAGGCCCTCCATCAATCGGGTTCAACCTCAGCCCACCCCTAATCGAACTCGTCCAAGTCAAATACGGTGCGTCGTCCATTCTCCCACTGTCGAGTCGTGCCTCCGTCGAGTTGCCATCTCACAACTCACTCTTCTAAAACAATGCTAATGCAAGATATCAAAGCTTCCAATGTAGCTAGCCCTACGGTCCTACTCCTGGTATCACGTTCGATCGCTTCGTTCGCGCTTGTGTGGTTATCGTGTGGTTATCAAGCAATTGAGCGAGGCGTTCCAGAATCTTGATACGGATAATGATGGATAGGTGCAGATTAATTATGATCAGTTTATGCAGACTGTTTTGTCGTTGCCTTGAAGTGGTTTGGGGGATGGAATCTGGAGAGGAGAACGTGTACTTATAGTTTGTCGGCAACAGCAGCAAAATGATGTATGTAAGATATATATGTTCTTATTCTCGCAGGTAGTGGTCACTGCAGCCAGTCGGATTAGAGGGCACCAGTCAGATGAGACGATTAAGTCGGCATGTGCCATGTTACTATAGTACCGGAAGCACTAAAGCGGCAACTACATAGAGGACTCAAATTTGGTCCATTTGCACCAGGATGAATTTTAGGAAAGGCAGCAAAATAGTCAATATTTAATGTTTTATGAATTTTAGGGTGTTGTTTCAATTTTTGGTGACGGAGTTTCACTGCTGTGTAGAGCAGCTACTAGAGCTAGGGAGATATGCCTTGATATGTGTTCGACACTTACCATCCGACGATTTTTTCGCAAGACATGGCGTTATATGGACGCCTAACTTGCGCCTACCGGTGTGTTTTCTGGTTTTTGAAGGTGGTAATTGTGTTCTCACAAGGTAATCAGCAAAGGGCTTAATTCTTGACAAGCTGCTTTGCTATCAAAAAGTACAAGGGCCACCATCGTGTACAACTCACACAAGATGTTTTAGATGGTGCGGATGCTCCCTGAAGGGTTAGACAGCGCCAGGATGACTTTTCGTAGTTATGTTTCAATTTTTTGGGGGCAAAATTTCGATACTTAGTAGAATTTAGTAAATCTATTCAACAAGCTTTGAACTACACTTCTCAACTACATTACAGCTGAGACAGGCATGTTTTGATGTTGCATTTAACGATTGTGCATCGGAGCTAGCCGAGCGTCTAAAGGTGCTTCTTGTACTGTAGTCTGCGGGAGGCCCCTATGCCCACCATATGTTCTTCCTACTATGAGCTAATCCAAACCGATCGACGGGAGTCGACATTAAACCCTCATCGTCGTGATGAATGCTCGCTGTGTGGCAATTATGACCTGCCATGGAGTATCTTTCCGTGGGCTCCGAAGGCTCCTAGCTGCGGACGGAGCCGTAATGGCCATCGATTTTCGATGCGATCTTGGCGCGCGAGCTCAGCGCCAACTTGGACAGTCTTCCTCTAGCAACCCTAGTATATATGGAAAGCCAGACCACCGTGCTCTACTTTTACAACTTCTTCTTAGAACCTGCCTATTGAGGCAAGTGCTTCTATTGACCTCCGAAGTTCCACCCTGTACGACCATTAGAAAAAATTATTAACCGTTAATTGTGATACGTCGGCGTCATAATTCGAGGTATCTCTTATTCTGACTCAGACATCTGAGCATAAGCGCCACGCAAGTACTGGTATGTGCTACAGCAGTTTGTGAGTATATTCGATCGATGTATGCTTCACTACCAGAATGTATTATACTGATTAGGCTACATCCGAGTCGAGGCATGGTCATTGGTGACTGCTCACGCAAGTGGAAGCCATGTCCGCACCCAAGTGTTCTCCGCTCTCAGGTCCTTCGACAATTGCAGCAGATCATCCGTGTGTGATAAGCGGTTACGCTCTTTACTACAGGGACATCATACGAGAGCTTGATTGCGCATTTCAGTTTGCATGACTTCGGAGGTGTTGGCGGTCTGTGCTTTCAGCATTGATGTCCTCGTGCGCCCCAAGCACGGCCTCGAGACGCTTGCAATTATATACAGCCTACCGTATGCTATACTCACGTAGAGGTACGTTCGACCACAGCCTCCCCTATCAATTTCAAACAATTTACTACAGCTGATAAGATGGTGTTTTTCGTGCTTGCATTCTTTACTGAATGTCCTCTGGACCTCATCACTCGAGTGCAGTCCCCTCGGTCCCTGTGAGTGTGGCAGCAATATTGACGGACCCGCATGTATTTTCTTAAGCTCTTTCCGGAGCCTCCGGCTGCCACTGATGCACTACTATCATGACGGTCAGCTCCATTAGCGGAGGGCAGGATATTTTTGGTGACGGCAACATAGAGGTCGCGGTGACAATGTTCGAGGCGTAGCATATCTGCAACAAGTACTGTGAACGGGCTGGCTTGCAGAAGTATCTGAGTCAAGATGAAACAGTCGAAACTCAGGACTCTTAGTAGTGAGCGTGATGTTTGGATTTCCCCGACGAAGACGCTCCGGACTCTTAGTAGCGAGCGTGATGCTGTTGTATTCACGTAAATTTACTCCTTAACACGAACTTGAAAATGATGTACAATATGACTTCCTTCTCCGCATCTACCATGACATGTCACAACTGATGGATCACAGTTTGATACATTTTTCCGATGGGGGTGTTCGGAGTAAAGTTGCCGTGGTCCGGTTCAGGTCCGGTTCGGGCACATCTCATCTGAACCTGAACTCGAACCGCTAGCTAGGTATGCATTTCTGCCGGACCCGAACCTGGACCACTGGTTCGACGACGGACCGGTTCTATGCAGTTCTGTTCAGGTTCGGACCGGTTTCTGAACCAAAAAATCCATGCTACAATAAAATTTTCGTTGCTAGCTACTCTGAATTGCGCTTTCTGCACCTCCCGCGCTGCATCATCCATCAAGCGCTTCTTCTGTGCTGTCCGTTGAGCAGCCAACTCTGCTTTTTGGCGCCTCCGCTCCTTCTTATATGTGCCTTTGACAGTTTGGATGTCACCGAAGTTCTTTGGGAGAAGGCGAGCGCGCCGCTTCGTGTCTGTGAGCCCAGCATCCGAAAAGGCACGTTCACAAGGGACGGAAGACCCTTGGATAGGCAAAAGTCGAGTGCAATGCGACTCAGCACTGGATAGCGAACGGCATTAACCTGATGTGTGTTCCCGAAGGTTGCTGGAGTCAGTTGGGTACTAAATGTGAAGGTAGTAGATTCATTGGGTAACGTCGGTGATAGTGACGGAGAAGCAACTGGGGGTAAGGAAGCAGTTTTTTGTGTAGGTGAATGCACCCATTCTATGTTGCAGGCATCTTTGAGCGATCCGTCGATATTGAGTGCGCACTGGTCCATCGTGTCAGTGGGGTCGAGACAATATTCAAGCAGGTATATTTGTTACTTAGTAAAAAACTGTACAGTACCAAATATCTGATCAAGATCGTTGCCGCTCATAAGTTATAACTCATAACAAGCTTGATGTCTGATCATTTGTTTTCGGATCCTACTAACGGACTAATGGTTCGGTTACGGTTCGAACAGGTTCGCTACGGTCCACAAATTTAGTCAGTCCCCCGAACCGCGAACCGCTCCCCTGCTGGACACTCTCGAACCGGACCGTTATTGAACCGAACCGTGGTCCGGTTCGAGGTTCAGAACCGGACTGCGGCAACTTTAGTTCGGAGGTCAATGGAAGCACTTGCCTCAATAGGCAGGTTCTAAGAAGAAGAAGTTGTAAAGTAGAGCACGGTGGTCTGGCTTTCCATACAACCCTGCTTCATTCTCTTGTCAAATAATCCGTAGTGGTGAATACTGGCCAGGTCGATCATGATCTTGTCACAAACATGTCCTACTGGGTCCTAATCCTCGTAGCAATGTTTGATGATGATCCCACAGTTCAATTGATTATTGAGTAATATCGCATGCGTGCATCTACCACATTGAATATACAAATTGTGAATAAGCCATTAGTGGGATTCAAAGTAAAATTTTGAATATTCAAGAAACACGCTGAAAGCGCGTTGAAACGTGTTTGAAAGAATTGCGAAATTTTTCAAAGTGTGAATTTAAACTCCGCTTGATTACCTTAGCCACGCATGCAAGTCGACGATTAGGGGTTAGGGTTAGACGCAATGCCTCGAACATCCGTGCGTCAAGACCTCTTACACCAGCTAGACGCTGCTTCGCTGCAAGTTGCATTGGCTCATATAGAGCATGCTAGACGTAATACAGAAGATTCTGAATCATCCGGCTCCGATAGCTCAATCCTAAGTCCTATGATTATATCTCCAATATCTCCTCTATCAGATATGTCTGACGGTTCAACTAACTCAAGTACCGACTCCTCCGATATCGATCTACACTTTCTGCGCCTTTTGGGAGATATTGTAGCGCTTCGTGATGAAATAGAGAGAGCACGAGTCCTCCATCGCCCTGACGAGCCCCCCATGCGTGCGCCGCAGATTCAGCTCTTACCTCATTTTGCTGCCCATCGCCCAGATCTCTTTCGCCAGAAATTGCGTGTATACCCTGACATTTTCGATGACATCCTCGACTATATCAGCGATAGTCCCATTTTCCAAAACCACTTGAACAACCGTCAGCTTCCCATCACCTTACAGCTTGCAATATTTCTAAATCGTGCAGGTCACTATGGCAATGCGATAGCTAACGAATATGTCTGCCAATGGGCGGGTGTTAGTGTCGGATCAGTTACTAACTGCACCAATCGTGTCATGATCGCTCTACTCGAGCATCATGACGAATTCATCTTCTTCCCAAGTCTCACTTCGAATGACGCTGCTTGTGCCCGAGACTATGTCTCGAAGATCTGCCCACAATGGCAGTAACGGTATCTTTGCTACGGATGGCTCTATGGTTAACCTCTGCTATAAGCCGGGGCTCTTCGGAGACACGTTTTACAACCGCAAGTCCAATTTCTCCCTCAATTGCCAGGTATGTCGTTTTTCTTCTCAAATTTCAACTGATAGACCTCTTATAGGTAGTGGTAATGCCTCATAACCTCCTTATAGTGGATTATTCAATCGGCCACGTCGGTAGTGCACACGACGCATATGCTTTCCACTCAACACGCGTTTTTCAAGAGCATGAGACGCTCCTTGGAGACGAGCACTGGATCTGGGCCGATAGTGCTTACCCTTTGGAGACCTGGTGCATCAGTGCCATTCAAGAAGCCGCGCAATGGTGCACTGAAAGTGGGAGCAAAAAAAATTCAACTTTAATCTGTCTACGGTACGTGTATTATTTTTTTCATTGCGTGTACTTACTAATTTTTGGACTTAGGTCCGTGTTCGTATCGAGCATGCCTTTGCGGCGCTCAAAGGCCGTTTTCAGTCCCTCCGCGAGCTTCGACATCCGATACAGACCGAGAAGCACCTCGAGTACACTTCGTACTGGATCATGTGCTGCTTGATCCTCCATAATATGGTCATCCGGTTCGAGGAACGGCGTTGCATTGACACTACAGATTGGGCCAGGAGGCAGGATGGGTCTGTAGAGGAGCAGGAGGAGGAGGATGTTGGTGAAGACGGAGCCGGCGATACGACATATGCAGGAACTCCTGGACAGGTGTCTCGCAGTCGGTTGATGGACCACTTGCTTGTCACACTTGAGAGGCGGAGGCAGGCAGAGCAGGAGCAGACAAGGCGCAACAGGTAACAGTAGGGACATATACAACATGTAAAGCATGGACATACAACAATGAGATTAGGAATGCGCATATCAATGTGACGCGAATGAAAGACAAATGTATTATGAATTAAGTGGATGAGGAACCCCCCTTTGACGAAGACGCTTCTTTCAGGTTGATCAACTCGATTTCAAGGCGAAGGGCAGCCACCTTCTCAGACTGAACTTTGGCCTGTGCTTCAAGAAGACGAAGCTCAAGTGCCTTTGCCTCCTGTGACCGCGCGTGCACTGAAGCAACTTCATCACGCTCTATTGCACCCTGGTCTCGTTGGAATTGGAGCTCGCGCTCTTGGCGGAGAGCATTGACTTTGGCGATTTTATACTCAGAGGAAGCTGCCTTTGCAGAGTAGATGTAACTCATATCGTCAGTGAGAGACCCCACCTGGTCAAGCACATCTGACGTTCCCGATTGAACGTGCCCTGAAAGGTTGCGCTTGTGCTGAGTTTGTCGGCATGAGGGCTGTGAGTCTACACGGGACGATGAAGAGAACGTCCGTGCAGATGAGCTGGGGGTATTGGATGATGAGGATGCCATAGATGCTGGCTTTTTTGCACGAGGGGGGCCACGATTCATGGCACGACTGACATGAGACTTGCCAGTGAAAGCCGCTTCACGGCGATCATACTCAGAGGCATGATTTAATGGCTTGAAGGTAGGGGGGGGTGAGGGGGACGTTTGGTATGGGCAGTTTGCTGCTTAGACGCTGCCGAGTATCGCTCTGATCCCCATAGTTATCTTCCTCCATCTCCAAGTCCTCAGCGCCACCATCCCAATTTCCCTCACCCATTGTGTAGTCCAACTCTTCAGGCACAGGGTCGTAGTCGTTATATGTAGGGTCATAGTCGTCATGAGCAGGGTCATAGGCCTCAGTAAAGGTGGCAGGTGGGGCGCTGTCAGCAGGAGGGTTGTGTATGTTAGAGGTGGTAGTGCGAGGAGCGTCATCATCCACAATGTCATCAGGATCAAAATCTAAAGCCCTCTCTTTCCCCTTTGGTTGTGAGTGTACCGCAGAGCTAGAGGCAATCAGTTTGGTTTTAGGTTGGGTGAGCATGTGGAGGCCACCAGCACGATCTTTGCCAGGAACAGAGGAGAAGGTCTTCAGAGAAAAGGCAGGGTTGTCCTTCCACAACGCATCAAGGTCTTCGAACCACGGAAATTCAGATGCTACTTGCACTGTGATTTTTATAGTTTGATAAGATAATTTAAATAATTTAAAACAAAACTTACCTCGGAGATTTACTTTAGCCTGAGGGTCGAGAGGGTTGACGCCAGCGCCAGTCATCCCAAACCGAGCAATTGCAGCCTTATACTTCCCCCTGAGACTGAGATTTTGTCATTAGTATGTACAGACGAGATGGGAACAAAGTACATACTATGCGAGGCGATTGGCAACAGCTTGTCCAAACTTTGGCCTATTCTCTTCTACAGCATACTGGGGCCCATATACCGGGTCATTGGCGAAGATATGTTTGGCGATTACAAGGTGGATTTTGGCTTTACTCCTGCCAGAAGGACGATCAGTGCTAATCGTCATGTCGCGTTGCTTTTTGTTGTCGGAGAAGAGTATGCGACAGTCGGGTGAATGTACAGCAAGCCAGGATACAAGAGGGGTAGTGCGATCATGGTTGACAGTTTCCCATCTGATCTTGGAAGGGGCAAAGTTGGTATCATCCCCAGGAGTCGGAGTGGCATCTCCATCATTCAGATCTGCTGCATGTTGATATTGGGGGGGGGGGGGGGGGTCTGGATGGTCGGTACCTCCTCCTCCTCCTCCTCCTCCTCCCCTCCCACGAGTCACAATAGTGGTACCCCTCGCCCTCGCCCTACATCAGTAAATTCACACATTGCTTAGCTTAGCTTTTTTGAGAAATTAAAACTTATTTACAACTTATTTGCGTTTATTTACTTGAGCGCGTTCAATGAAAAGTAGCGCGCGACAAACAAGTGTGATAATTAGTCGAAATGAAGCGCGCACCAAACAAGCGCAATAAGGCAGAGATAAGCCATCAAATGGACACCTTCATCAATTCAAGCAACATAAGTGAAGTAAGTGCTACATATACTCATTGCGGCTACTGTATTAATGAGACGGCATTAAGTACAGTCCATCATGGCAGCTTCAAACATGTTTGATTGTGGGAGAGGGAGGAAGCAGCGGCAATGGAGTGATGTCGAGATTAGGGCAGATATGGCGATCCAGGCTGAGGTAGTTGCAGAGGAGGCAGAGGCGATCACGGAGGGGCAAGGCGGCTCATTGAGCCTTTGGAAAAGGGCAAAGGGGTGGTGTGGGGACAGAGAACGAGACGGAAAGTGACCGTTTCGTCGTCGTCGATAGTATCGAGCTTGTAACGCGAATCCTTCGCATTGTTGCCTGGCGTACATCTTCCATACTTGAGTTGCAAGAGGGTCTTGTTTCGCAAGTTTTTCTGGGTCGATTTCGTCAAAGGGAGATTCTAGGTCGAAGGAACCAGAAAGTCTAGGAGAGGTAAAGGCGCTGGGAGCATGATCTTGATGCGGGGAGGGTGAGGAAGGTTTGTTTGAAGAAAGAGGAGAAGGTTCTGGATGGGAAGGTATTGTGAGCACCGAACTTTTTAGCGTAGCGACCAATGAACTGGCAGAGGGTGAAAGCCCATCCATGAAGACCTGAGCCGAAAGCAACAATACCCTTGTCTGGGTAGAGCTGGAGGACAGGAGCAATCGTCCAGAACAAGTTCCAGAACAGTAGGTAAGTATACTCAAATACGCTGTTGGGAAAGTCAGCAGCTACGCAGGGTTGAGGCGAGTGCATAGCTCACTAAGCCGAACTCCATCCACAATAGATCTGGAACCACCACAAAACGCCGATACACACAATGTTTTTGTAGAAAAAGTTGACAATCCTACAATCGAAAAGTGTCAGCATCAGCATCAAGCAAAGATATGAAAGAACTAACATAATTCCGTTGCGAGCATAAGACCAGTGACCATGGACAAGAAGCAATTTCTTCAGGAACCGGAACTACTCTATCATAAGCAAAACATCAAAGATGGCGTAAAATCACGCACCTGTGCAATAGCATAGTCCGACGAGTTGACAGCTTGCAGACCCTCCTCACCACTAATGCTGACACCAACATCTGCAGCCTGGATCATGCTGACATCATTCGCGCCATCACCAATAGCGAGGGTCATCACGCCGAGACCATCCTTGACCATCTTCACCACAAGCGCTTTCTGTAGCGGAGAAAACACGGCAACAGATGACGCCCTCGCATTGGGTAGCAAGACGGAGAAGAAGAGCCTTGTGGTCGTCATCATGAAGGGCGTGATCCAGCGCAGCACCATCAATGACAAGTACAAATCCCCCAGTACGATCGCCATTGTTGTCTCCGACAATATCACGGACCCCCGTGCTTAGCCGCCGCATGGGGAAGGCGCTGGCTGATTCTGTGGATGGTGATTTAGGCGCGCAAGTGACGATGCCATGTTCATCGAGTATGCCACTGTCTGGGAAGAATTCCTCTACGGCCTGAATCATCTGTTGTTGAACCGGGTGGTTGCTACCGTGGATGATGATGATATTGGACTCTCCGGCGATGAGATTCGTACTGCGCCCGATAGCTGCATCAAAGGTCTGTGAGACCGACTCCTGAAAAGGGGGATAAATACACACCGATGGCAGTCTCGAGCTTGTCGCCAGTAGCAACCCAAATCTTGATACCCGCGACTTTGAGATCAGCAATTGTCTCTGGCACACCATCCTGGAGGCGATCTTCAATGGCAGTGGCACCAAGCAGTCGCAGCTCGCGCTCCATCTCATCACAAACCGCCTCAACCTTGCCTTCACGATCATCCAGGGCAGTAGAGGCTTCATGATAGCGTTCAGACCAGGCCTCATACTCATCATCTGTAGAAACCCTTTAGCCAAGTGGGTGGGAGCACGAGCTAAATCCGACTCACCCTGAATAACCTTGTAAGCCAAAGTCAACGTCCTCAGCCCAGCATTCGCAAAGTCCTCCAGATGCGCCTCAGTCGTTCTTTTCAAATCATCTCCACCAGCCTTGAGCCGCTCAAAGATGACGTTATCTGCTCCTTTCGTAAGCAAAAACAGTCTGCCATCTTGATCATCCAATTTCTTGACGATGACGCTCATTCGCTTCCGTGCGCTCGTGAACTCCAGGATATTAAGCAGCTCATACCGCTCGGTCTCCTTCGAGAAAGGTGTTTGCAAAAGCAGTTTCTCCTTCTCACGTCCGCGAAAGATGAACCCAGCATCCGCAGCGGCTTGAACGAGGGCAGCTTCGTCAGGTGATTGTGCTTTGTACTCAATGGTACCTGTCGCAGGGTCGACAGCAGTGAGAACGGTATGACAAAGTGCCAGGACGGAGAAAAAGCCGTTAAGCGAGCGTGCTAAAGCACGGTGAGGCGATCTCAACCTGGCTGGGCTGATATGAAATATCTAAAAATGCTCAACCAGTATAAGTGAGTCTTGGCTCTGCCTAGCTGCTATACTCGCAGAATGCAAGAACGTTCGACCCTAAAGGGGACTGCTACTGAACACAGAACCAGATGAAAGAAAGACCCTTGATGTGCGATGGATGTGCGAAAGCGCAAGAAGAAAAGCGAAGTGAGCGCGAAGCGCGAGAGAGCGCACTAAGGTAAGCAGCGAGCGTGGGAACGTGAGCGCTAAGGCGCGCGTTGTGCGGAGAATACCGGATAAGGAAACGGACAAGGAAGCGGATGTGCAAAGCGAGTGCAAACGCAGAGCGAGTGTTATAACAAGTGCGGATAAAGGTCTAGTATAGGCGGATAACGATAACCATTGGAAACACAAAGTGCGCCCAAGTGGTGACTACTACTCTAAGGTAAAACCCAATAGCAAGGGAAGTACAGCAAAGGGGAGTAATAATGATGGTGTAGTAAGTCAGCAACTTTATACTATGGAAATCGCATCGGAAGTGGAAGGGATAGGAGCAATAAGCGCTATGAATACGTAATGACATGTAATAACGCTGCAATGCTTGTTACAAACCACGAGGCAAGGCATATGACGTACCAATGAGGTGGATGGACATAGAGGGACGTTCCTGGACGATAGGCAATGCAGGGCAATGCAGGGTGCTTAAGTGCAATAAAGCGCGCAAGGTGCGCGTGTGGGAATGCTGCGCGTTGTGCGGGAAAGTACCGCGCCTATGGCGCGTTTCGCGGGAAAGCTGCGCGTTATGTGTAAAACGACTAGGGACATGATATAAGTCGAATATAGCTGATGGTGCAAGTCGTGCATTGCAGGCCAATTGTCATGAGTTGTGAAAAGGTGCAAAATGTGCCCATATGTGCCTGCAGAAACGCGAGTCTCTACAACGGTTTGACCTTGTTAATGATGACGACGGGTTTGATACGCTCCGTAAGTGCTTGACGAAGCACCGTCTCTGTCTGCACGCAGACACCTTCGATACAGTCGACGACGACGAGAGCACCGTCAGTGACACGGAGAGCAGCTGTGACTTCTGATGAGAAGTCGACATGACCTGGTGGGGTAGTTGAAGCGGGGGACATCCATAGGGATGGTGGTAGACCAATATTGGAGCGCTCGACAGGATGATCATAGATGGAAAAGTCAGTTGCTGGGGGGTCGGGCTAATACATGATTAAATATGAGTTGTGAATGATGAAGGACGGGTTGCTTACACGTGTACGACGAGGGTGAGTGTCTTGCGGTCTATGTGAGGATGAAGACGAAAGGAGACGCATATGGAGGGAGGTTGAAAGGCGTCAACGATTGCACTGTGCAGTGGGCTCAGGAACACCGTCATGACCATGGTCAATGCTTGGTTTCCGACTCGACGAACGGCTGGACTTCGTGGATGCCTCGACAGCGAGTTCAGGGTTCTGTGCGCGAGCGAATCGAGATATGTAGGCATCCGTCTGCTGCAGCAAGTGGGTGATGCACGTATCCTTTGCTGTATCGATAAGCTTCATATATGCCTCATCATCATCCGCTTTGAGCACCTTCAAACGCTCCTTCGAAGTTGAGGAGGGCCCGAAGTTCACGAATGTTGTTCTGAAGGGGGGTATAGTGAGGATGAGGCGGTACCTAGGACCTAATTAGCAGCGGACCAATAATTAAATTGAGGACCCACCTATGTCATCCAGTCAGGACGCTATCTCGAAGGCGTGGTGATCAGCATATTTGTTGACATAAAATGAGTCGAAAGTATCAAGAGAATGGTAAAACTTGAGGGTGTGAGGAATATACTCGGAACCGTAGATAGGTATCAGGTGTGCTGCACGGAAGACCGTCTCAATATGAATAACCGCAATATTCTTCGAGCCGTCCTCGTGGAAGCTTGGAGCGACCATCCACATACCAGTGTTTTCATCAGGATCATCGCCGATCTTCTCAAACCAGTGTATGAGAGCGCATGGATACACTTCCCAGTTGTGGTTAAATGAAAAGAAACAAATGACTCTCGCAACTTCGAGTCCTCGCATCCCTTCAGCATCTGAACCAGTATTGATGAATATACAATCATTGCATGGGTACTCGTTCCGCCAGAGTGGACATGCGCGAATGTGTTCGCGTCGCATGCCACCAATGCCACTTGGATCACTGGGGGCGTGAAACGTCGCAGCAGCAGAATTGAAGACACGAAGCTTCCCTTCATGGCGAGGTAATCGAGCAGCTGGGATGTCTTCAGGGTTGCGGGCATCATCCGGATTGAGCTGGGAGAACAGAAAGTGACGAATGAGGCGTCGTAGATCTGGAACGGCAACTTCATGTGCCAATGCTGCTACTGTCTGAGCCCGTTTTCGTTCTGTGTGATACAGTGGTGAGGATCAAGTTTAAACATTGCAGGAGGTTACTTACGGGGAGTTCTCGCGAGTGCTACAGAAGCGAGTACCGTTGGACCATCAACTATTTCGCCGTCGTCAATGTCGATTCCAGGTTGTGGTTCAACCACATCGGCATCTGGTTGCAGTGCAATATCAGGGACGACTCGTTCATTTTCATCTGCCAATGTATATTGTTGTTGAGTATGCGAGAAGACGGTCAGAGAAAGAAACATTCAGACTTACCGAGAGCAGCTAATGCACTTGTTAAGATAGTGCCAGTGAGCATCCCTCGCGCATCAAAGTCCACGCGGGATGCTGCGAGCTTATCAAGGCGCTGATTGGTCACAAGCATCTGACCAAGAGCATTGTGCCTGCTTGACCACCGCCAAGGCTCCTTTACTGCCTTGATGTGCTTTGATTCTGTTATTGATGAGCATAGTCCGTTTGGGGCACCAAAGAGTCGGATCATGTCCGAGTAGTGAGTCATTGAGTGCTGACGGGGGGAGCGAGAAGGTGGGAACGACGACATCAAATACCTTGCGATATTGATGAAAACGACGAAGTGCATCTTGGATTTGAGTCAAGGTATCTTCGGTAATGACATTGTGCCGGACAAGGTAACAGAATTCCAACAACGCACGAAATGCGCGTACCATGTCTTGAGGTACGTGGCCTTCGATAGCCGGAAGAAAAACTTTCATCAGCGCTTTCGAATCATCGCCTGTCCACTGTTTAAAGTCGCGACCTTGAGGAAATCGTCGTAGACCAGAGAATGATGCTACAGCAGCAACTCTAACATGTTGTTAGAGAATGTCATTAAGTAAACAAGCGAGGCGACATACCTGCGATCTATGTCGCTCATGATCTCCTCGGCCCGTCTGGTTCCATGCACAGCCTTGAGGTATTTCGCCACCCAGTCGACAAGATGGTCTTTGAAAGCCCCTTTAATGAGCTGGTGGAGAAGGTCAAATGACAGCAACTCGTGGATGTCAGCTCGGGGAAAGTCGTTAGTGAATGGCTATAAAAAACAAATCAGTGTGGTATTGAAGAGCGGGCTATTCCACTCACGACAAGATCGCCAATGAGACCATATTCATCCCACAATATATCCGCGTGTAGTTCGTCAATCAAGAAATCAGTGTGCTCGCGACAGCGGTATCTACCACCACTATCAAGGTCCGTGCGAACTGCAATGCATCTGCATGAAGTATCAGTACCAATGGATGTTGACTGCAAATTCCAATACTCACTTCGGGCACCAATGTTTGACAACACAGGATAGCACGAGTTGTTCCTCGTAATCCGCTATGTAGGGTCCTAGACTGTATATAACGCGCCGGAAATGGCCATCTCCACAGCGCACGACCTCATACGTGGTCATAACAGGTTTGAGGCTGGAGAGAATCGCAGACAGAGAGCTGTGAAATAGCTGGCGGCGGAAGATACGAAATACTGTCGTCTTTAGCATGCTTCTTGTCAGCTGTAACATAGCTCAGATGAATAATAAAATTTAAAATATGAACATACATACTTTTAGGAATGGCGAGGAAACCGATGATTACGAGGGCATCACGGTGTGCACGCCGTACATTGTTGCGTACGTTACCAATCGAGGCATAGAGGGGGTAGTATTCATTATTGCCGGTGCCCACAGAGACAGTGGTCTTGTCGCTACCGAGAATAATTGGGACTAAGGAAGATCCATGTGTTTCTGGATCTTTCGATATGGTGTCCTTGACGAAATATGAGCGATATCCAAAGCAATACCATAAAGATATGAAAGACGTACTGCCTGTTGCCATGCCCAGTCTCCGGACATGAAATCCTTCCATCGGCGTGTGGAGTCCGATGCGTCGTATTCACGAAATGGCACGTAGTCGATCTCATCCTTGTAATCAGGGTTGGCGAGTATGTTGTGTGCCATCGCACGGGGGTCCCTGTACCAGACCTCGAATTCATCATCCATCCATGGCGGGACAACCTCAGGTCGTTCTCCTGAGTATTGGGCCGAGAAACACTGCCAAGGGACATCACCGAGTTGTGTCGCATCTATAACGTTGTGTAGATCTTTGTGATCCGCGAATGGAGGGGTGTCATGGTGTCTCGCAAGAGTTGCGGCCATTAAGTCACACAAGAAATCCAAATTTCTTGCAGACATGTGACACTTTTTGAATGCGAACTCTGCTAGCTCGAATTCTATTCTGTTGCGATAGGGACTCCAATCATCAGGAGCCTTCAATGGTGCGGGAGTTGGGGGAGTGCCATGCGGCAGAAATGTTCCATCAGCTGCGCATGGTCGTCCTAAACACATACGAGTCAAAAACAGAGTACTGAAACTTGAAGGAAACGTACCGTTTAACACTGAATGATACGTACGAAAGTAACGCTCGCTCGCATCAGTGAATTCGGCATCAGTGCTATTTAAATCCTCGTGGACTGGACCAGTGAGTATGGGAGATGACGGCTGGGGTGGTTGTGAAAAATCCGGAGGGGGCAGTGAGAAATCTCAGGGGGCAGTGAGAAATCTCGAGGGAGAGAGGGTGACCGGGATGGCGGGGGAAGTGGTGACTGGGGTGGTGATGGGATGTCCCGAAGGGACGGTCCTGAAGTAGGGTGAATCGAGCGCCTGTGGTGGGTAAGACCTGACTGGCTTCGAAACCAACGCAAGCATCCTGGAACAGGGCATGGAAGCTGATGCAGGTGGTGAACACGACGGGGAGGCATATGTGCTATGCTGGGATGTTGCTGTTGACAATCGACTCTCGAGTATTTTGAGGGCCAAAACACTCAAGGTTTGGGGCGCGGTTGTAATCACCACATTAGCACAGCCAAGGCAAACTTTAATGCTAAAGTGAAGGCTAGATGTGGGATGCGAGCAAACGGTACCGAAAAGGCTTTGGTAAGCGTTGATGTTGAAGCTGGAAAAGCGGTGGTTAACCGCCGTTTCCTTGCACCTGCGAGCAAAAATTAATATACTAGAGGTGCGGGAAGGATCAGCTATCTCCTCACCAGACAGGTTTTAGTAAACGTCGACGCTAAAGCCACAACTGGAAAATTGGTGGTAACCTCGGTCTCCTTGCACCCGGTACCGAAAAGGCTTTGGTAAACGTTGGTCTCCCTGTACTAGTAAACAAAATAAATATATTAACGGTGCGGGAAGTGTCAGCTATCTCCTCACCAGACAGGTTTTGGTCTCCTTGCACCCACAAATGAAAACTAACATGATGACGGTGTGGGAAGTGTTAGTAGACTATCTCGCCGGAAAGGTCTTGGTAAACGTTGATATCTTGCAGCCTGAGGCAAAGAGTTGCATTGATAATATTCTGGAAAGAATATTAGTAAAAATTGAGGTTCCACGGCAACTGCAACAGATCGCACCAATATATTAGTAGGTACGTCAGGGCACAAGTAGGTCATTTGGTCAGAATCAGCCTAGGCTTCAATTTTTGAAAAATTGTGACGGAACTCACCTTGTTGCCAACTACCACTGTCGTCTCTTTCTTCAGCCTTCCGAACCCCCCCATCGATACCATGTCTGAGCCTGCTAGCGCAGTTCCGAAACGCATGATGACTCGTCCTAAAAATGCAACTCAGCATCCAGGACGTATCCTCACTGAGGCCAAAGGCTATACCAAAAGACGTACCAAAGCTCAAAAGTTCGCTGACGACAAGCGTGAAAAAGAGGAAAAGCAGGCAAGTGAAATGGCTGTACAAGAAGGATATAAGCGCGTTGCTGCATTTGAGAAAAAAATGCAGACAGACCAAGCTGCTAAACGTGCTGATGCACCAAAGCCTACTCGTCCCCGCCCACGCCCTGTAAAAAAGGTTGCGAAACCCATGGAGACCTCTAACTCGACTATGGCCGAGGATCAGGCCATTGGCGCTAAAGGCAAGGGTGGTAGGGCTAGAGATAAATCAGCAGCCAGGTGCTAATGTCGAACATCCTGAGAGTGATGCAGAGGACGAGGAGCAGGAGGCGCGAGTGCCTGGAGCACGCAAAAAGAAGGGGAAGAGGACGGTGTTACCAGTGAAGATGCCAGTGAGAGACGCAATCGAAGCAGCTGGCCTTATCGATGACTCGGAATCAACAATGCCACGTGACAACGATAAGAAGTCTGGTGATGTGTAAGGAGCTTACTTCTCAACCATAATGCACTATCTGACCGAGACGGCTCTTTTCTTTTTCAATTTAATGCTTCATGGTGATGATAGCTCTACAGCAGGTCCTGCAAAATTCGGTGTTGCTGCTGGGCGTATTTCGCATTGGAGGTTGGAGATCCCTGAAGAGCTTACCTCCGCCGCCACTGCCTCGAAGCACAGACGACCATCTACGATGCCTTCTGACTTCTCTAGTATGGTTCCCTCCTCTAAACTCACTAGGGGGAGTACTGTTAGTAGCGGTGGTGCCCCACTCACACCCATCAATACTATCACCGGTGCTGGGGCTGATAGCATGGCAGATCATTTTGTGACTCTGTTTGCAGACGATGATTTGGATGAATCAGTCGAGCGCTCTCAGGCCCTTGCCCGTATGTCCAAACCAAAGGGGGCCGCTCAGGTGAGTTCATTTATTTAATTCTTTTCTTGACGTGTCAACATTAACTATGTTACCAGGGCGTCAAGATTTCTTCTATGGTCCCTGATACTTCCATTCAAGCAAACTCAGCCCGTCGCAATACCAACCTGGCCCCCAAACAGCTCAACACACTTGAGCCTGACACTGTCACTGACGATAATGGCGATATGGATGTTGAGGTGGCTCGCCCAGCAGTAGCGTCGCTCGTCAACTACGCATCCGACACTGACATGGAATCTGATCTTGAACCTCCTCCTTCTACGCAGGTGCCCAAAGGATACTATGATGACGACATCCGCCGAGCTGTGGCTCTCAATCGAAAACCAGCATCCTACCCTACGACTCTGTCAACGAGTGTCAAGCGCAAACTTGCAGACATAGAGGACGACCTGACTGACGATGACGCAATTGAGGACGATGCAATTGAGGACGACACAATCGAGGATGCCCTACTCGAAGATGCTCCCTTCGAGGACGACATCATGGTCGGTGATGACTTCGGTGATGATCATGCCTCCATGATCGAGGAAGATTTGCTCTCGTCCGAAGTTGAGTTCATTAGTCACATCAAGCCCGTTGTCAAGGTTGAATCCAAACCAGTATCTTTGCGGGTCACGTCCACGGTAGTATGCTTTCGTGATTAACATTTAAATTATACTGACTACACATAATGCAGACTAATGTTGGTGTCAAACACAAAGCTCCCGTGACCAAGCGGACAAAATCTTCCATTGCGCATACTCATAGTCTTTCCAGCATCTCAAGTGCTGGTTCTGGTGCCGCGTTGGGTCCTGTAGAAGTGGAGATCCTTCCTCGTTCTGCTTACAGGATCAAAAACCTTCCTGGAGGTCCTCGGGCAGTCACTAGGTGGAGCGCAGTCTTCATTCCAACTCTCATTTCCGCCGTTGGGGACCAAGATGAAGTTTGGGGCCGACTCGAGTCGGAGACGACGCTTTGCGCTACCATCCAGGACACCTGGAATGCAGTTTACGGTGATATACCTCACACGGTCACACCCGATGGGCCGGTTATGGCTCTAGTAAGTGATTGTTGACGCAATTCGTATCTGATTGTGTTTTGTTTTAAATAGGCTACCCAGCAGGCTATCAGAGTGGCGCAACGGCATTGGCACTACTGCCATCACAGTACTGACGCACTTCATGTCGACGCAGGACGATATCGAGAGTGATGAGGATCGCAAAGATTTTGCGAAAAACTTACGTCTCAAGCTAGGATTTTTGTATGGCAGCATCACGGAGGACGGCAAATACAAACAACCCTTCCAGTCTGAACTCCTCGTTCAGGTTCTGGTACAGCATAGGTGCGCTACTTTGGGTGCTATTGACAGCCACAGGAAGACCTCATACGCGAAGGGAGCTCTGAGTCTTGCCACTGCGGCGGCATGTATATTTGCTCTCTCGTCAAACCACAATTAACTTATTTCTCGTGTTTCAGATGGAACGCGCCCTCGATATTATCGGTGGGGACACGCGCGTCAGTGAACTGAAATTCAACAGTAAAGGGAAGGCCGTCAAGGTCCCCCACAGCTTGAACAAAGTCACGGGCAAGGCCAGTAACGCTCTCAAGGCGTTTTCAGACACCAACTACGGCGAGGCGACCAGAGGCTATATGAAATCCATCAACCGGCTCCGAGAGTCAGTCCTCCAAGACGTCTGGGAGCGCACAAAAGAAATCGCTGTGAAGAGGCGTCACGGTGGTGCGTCCACCATTCTGGATGAGGATTCCGACGATGAGCGCGCAATCATCGTCGACGACGACTGGTAGTACCTTTCTATTATTCACTACTATTATTCAACTGACAATTTGTATTTTGTAGAGTCACTCGTTTTCTGTCGATAGTACCCAGCATCCCGTGGCCTACTACTACTACACCCACATATGGCCATCGTTATCCTTCACCACCAAAGCCTGCTTTCCCTCCGCCCAATTCTTCCTACATCACACCACCCACATCGCCAGACACGCCGTCACCAAGTTATTCAACATCGATGTCTCCAGCATCAACGGCATCTCCTCCAACGCCCCCAGGTGTAGAGGTGCCGCATAGTAAATTGAATCTCTCGCGCTTGTTCCTGCTTGACGTCTATATTTCACTACTTACTAGTACTTGCATGCTCTTTCCCTCGCTTAATTTACAAAATGCCAGTGTTTTTGTGGTTATTTTTATATTAAAAGTGTGAAATAAGTGAAATAAGCATACAATAAGTGAAATAAGAATCACCAATTTGCGCTACGCAACGGAAAAATAAGTGCTACTGTCAAAAATAATTGCCCAAAAAGCCAGAAAAGACTGGAAAAAGTCACAGTCAAGAGGAAGGACCTGCTTTTTCGACTTAAAATTGCCTTGTGGCAAGTTTACAGCAAGTGGGTGTCACCATTCTTGCGAGGGACTTATCCACTCCTTTTTGGGAAATTTGCCGGCGGCAAGTCACAAAAAAGGAAGTTAAGCAATGTGTGAATTTACTGATGTAGCCCTAGCCCTCCCCCTGCCACGCGAAGGTTGCGGTGGTTGCGGTGGTTGTGGTGGTTGCAGTGGTGGTTGGAACTGGCTCATATTCAGACCAGCAGATATTTGAGAAAGCTGTTGGAGGCGTGCTGAACGTCTTACAGCGGATGGGCGTATTGGGGGCATCGTTCATGTGTAGCATGAAGTTTTGATTTCAGACTCCGATGCCTGCTGCCGGGGTTCCGAAAAGTTTGCATGTTTGTTAACGCTTTCAGGGAAGTTTCAAGACCAGCTTTGAATCCCACTATTGTTATCGACCAAGTTCACCGAGGCCTACCTACACGGCTACACCCATACCAAAACAATGAGCTAGAAAAAATTACGCCACGGGCCGTGAGCTGGCATCTGTTTCATTTCCGAGCGTCCAGTGATACAAGCACATAAAGTAATTGGCTGCACCTTTCACTACTTGTGTATAAAAGACAGCCTAGCACCCGATCCGATGCAGAAAACACTATCGGGACTCGACTATGAAATTCACTTCACTCACCACTATCGTCATATCTGCCACAGCGATGGCTGGCGTAGCTATCGCTCAGGGCTTGCTATACGATACTGCATCACCCGGCGGCCTACCCTGTAACCCAAATGGTGAGCACCTTTGTGGCCTACGTGCAGACCGTGTACTTACGGTTATCCATAGATTCAGTGCAGTGCTCAACAGACCTGCAGGGTTTCAACGACGAAAAGGATTACGGGTTTTTCTGCGGACCTGATTGGACGATTTTATCATGGACACCGTGTTCCTGCAAAAATTGTTGCATGGTGGTTGCTGATGGGGATGACTTCCAGTGTGGATACTGAGCGAGCCCGTCTTTTCCTACTGCCTTCACGTACATTCAGCAAATACCAGTAAGTAACACACCACCCGCTAGCTTAACTATATGAAGACAAATATTTAAACTTGCGCGACATATACAGGTATTTCAATTGTTCTTTTTGATTTTGTTTTCGCTTTGGCTAATATGATACACTGACAGATGAGTAGAATGATTCTGATACATCTCGTGGCGTGTACCCTCTTTGTGTTCTCATGTACCAGATAGTGACGAGCTTTACCAAACAGTTTCATGTATTCTCGTCGCTATCGTGTGAAGGTGAGCACATGCCAGGGTATGCGGCGATGTCGGTACCTAGCTGCAAGCATTTATATACATCAATGCGCGATTGCTTGATATGTGCGTGAACGAAGCACGTCGATGCGTGTGGCGAATTATAAAAATTTAATATTGGAATTAAATACTAGTACCTGTCCAAACCCAAGATATCGCGCCCAAGACGCTGTTACGCCAAGTACACTAAGTTTTCCGCTAGTAGTATCGTCTTGACCGCTTTCGTGATTCGAGAACATATGCGGTCATGCGAGGAAGGCGCCATCACTCGTATTCGACATCACCCTCTGGGGAACAATCACCGAAAGGCTATTGAGTGCTGCGTCATGATTGCGAGCTAATACACATACAAAATTTGGAACGTGATCATCATGATGTCATGACGATCTTTATTACACATTGACACCCAGGTTAACATTGTCACAGCGCTCCTTCCACGCCCTCATGATGCTAGGTAAGTAACATTAACACTCGGGCTCGAAAGGCAACAGAGAAAGACAGGCTCACTCAGTTTCCACACCAGCTGGACATCATTCCCATTAGCAACCGCCTTATAGCAATTTTTGCAGGAACACGACATGTATGATAAAATTGTCCAATCAGATCCGCAAAAAAAGCCGTAATCGTTCTCGATGTTGAAACCTTGCATGCCTATTGAGCACTGCGGTTCATGGGTGTTGTATCGTCCGAGTCAGCGATAGCTACGCCAGCCATCGCTGCAGCAAACATGATAATAGTGGTGAGTGAAGAGAATTTCATAGTCGAATCCCGATGGTGTTTTATGGACCGGGGTGGGTCACTGTCGGTTGGCTTTTATACACAATTAGTGCAAGGTGCAGTCAAACACTTACATCGCTGGGTGCTCGGCAATGAAACAGGTGCTAACTCACGCCCCGTGGCATGATTGTCTGCTAGCCCATTCTTTTAGTACGAGTGATGCGGGCAGAACTATTTTGAAGCAGTTCTACCGGAAGAACTGGCGGAACTTGGTAGAAAAACCACCCGCATCTTCTCATCCGCCTACCATGTCAGTCGTCCCCGCCACGACCCCGGCTCGATACAACCATTCCCTTATGTTTCTAGTACAACACGACAACCACGCTCACTGTAACTGCCGGTGTTGTTCTTGAGAAGAGAAACTCAGTCCTTGCTAGTTCTTCGTGCCTCTCCCCCTACGTTTCCTTGATCACTGGTCTTTCGTGGTCACTTTGATGAATCTCTCTACTTCGCTCAAACTAATGTCGTCTTCCGCGCTTCATTAACCATATTATCACGCACGCGAAATATATTCGCCTATTCTTTCTCACAAGAGATGTCCTCAGCAACTGGAAGCTTATGAAACAGGGCTTGCCAGGTATAATACTTCATTCATCATATTCATGTCTTTTGACTTACTTGAGAGGAAGACGTGTCCACATGGTAGGGATTTCTCTTCAAAGTCAATCCTTCCTGACCTGGGATCCTGTGCTAATTGGATACCAGGACAACACCTCGAGCAAGAGACCCGGATTGATATCGATCCTACGCGAAAAAGGTAGAGGGCTTTGCTTGGCCCTGCGTGACTGTGATTCATGGGTAGCATCACGAGCATCACGCCTCGATGTCGCTTGACGTTAACTCAATTCCATTCGATTTTCCCCATTTTACTTATTCGCGAATGAGTGTATATTGCCGTGGGGAACAAGCAACTGAGAGAAAAAAAGATATATTTGACTGTTAGGACGTATATTGTTCGACATTCGTCATCGCATAATTTCAACAATGGGAATACGGGGATGCTACTTATCTCCAGTACAATCATCAAGGCCGGATCAGTATAAAAATGAGATTGGCGAACTGGTGCGCTGGGGCAGGGCATGTGGTGAGTGTCAGCATGTTGGACACAATAAATACGATGATACACCACTGCAACTGTGAGATCAAAAAGTCATTTGGACACTGCTTATGCCGATCAAGATTTTGTCACAAACATTATACATATCATACTGGTTCCTACCCCAGTCTACTCCTAGTAGAAACGTTTGACGATGATCCCATGATCGTTTGATTATATTGCATGCGTGCATCTACCCCATCAATCGTGAAAATTGTGAATAAGTCATCGTTATATTGACTGACGTTCACCGAGCCCTAGTACCAAAAGAATGGGCTAGAAGAAAATTGTGCCACGGGGCATGAGCTGGCATCTGTTTCATTGCCGAGCATCCAGCGGTGTAAGTGTTTGGCTGGACCTTACACTAATTGTGTATAAAAGCCAACCGTGACCCACCTCACCGGGTCCAGAAAACACCATCAGGATTCGACTATGAAATTCACTTCACTCACCACTATTATCGTATCTGCCGCAGCGATGGCTGGTGTAGCTATCGCATCTGAGGATCTGGTTTTAACACCCAAGGGCCTACCCTGCTCCCCTGATGGTGAGCGCTTTTGCGGTCTACGTGCAGACTGCGTACTTACGGTTATCCACAGATTCTGTGCAATGCTCAACAGGCTTCAAAGGTTACAACAACGGGAACGACTTCGGCTTCTTCTGCGGACCCAAGGGGACAATTATATCATACACGCCGTGTTCCTGCAGTAATTGCTGTACGGTGGTTTCTAATGGGGATGACTTCCAGTGTGGAAACTGAGTGAGCATGTCTTCTGCTGTCTCTCGAACCCGAGTGTTAATGTTGCTTAGCATGTTCAGGCCGTGAAAGGAGCGCTGTGACATAGCCTGAGTGTCAATGCGTATGGCATACATTGAGGTTCTGGGGTCAATGATTGATCGTTATCACATGATCGTTCCAAATTTTGTATTATGTAATGTCGAATACGCGCCTCAGGCTTTCCTCACAGACAACCTGCATGACTCGAGTCTCCAGTTCTCGGATCGCGAAGATCGCTGTCAAGTTTCAACCCACCTCACATCTAATTTCTGCAATATTTGACGTGTCTCTTCGTCAAAAAAAATATGTGGTAAAGAATAAGCATCATGAAAATCTGTGACAATTTGTGACAGTACCGTATCGACGTCACAACCACGTTGACTCTTCGCATAAGTTATTAAGTTTCTGCTCACAGCGATTTTATCTTCACCTCCATCTCACTCTTTTCATGTATATGGAGGAAAAAGCTAAACAGTGGAGACCACAGAATCTATTCTCGCTGGTCTTGTCAATCTGCGACGGCTAACAGAAGACATTCTGTGGTCTCAATTTCCTTCCGAAGTCTCCACTCTTGCCCAACAAACTGTAATCCGTCCCTTCCAAATATTAGCAAGTACGGGGTTCGGGCCACTGACAGTATTTCCGAAGAGAGGCTTCCCATCGTGAGTTCCGCTTCTGTATGTACCTCCGTGACCGAGCTTATAACGAAGGCTACATATCGATATCAGTAAGCGTAGCCCAGCAGTAGGAGAACAAAACACAACCCTTGCGACTATAACGTTAGTGATTGTTGTGTAGATAGGTCAGCTTACTCGTCTATCTGGTACGCTATACTCGCATCGTTATATCTTCCATTGGCAGGATTTATCTTCTGGCAGAACATCACTACCTCCAAGCCTCTATCAATAACAATATTAATACTGGACTACATCGGATTCTCGGTTTGTTTGGTTTTCTCTGGATTCCTTATCAAAATGCACCGGTCCATGTCATGCACGATGTCGTCAACAGCCGTCTAATGAGGACTGCGCACGGCCCCGACGTCCAAATGGTGTGTCTTGATACTTGCCCGGTATCACCATCTTGCTCAAGGCGAAACACCAGCTCTGCGAACACTACACTCTTACTTTGGTAGTACTACTTCGCAGAATAATTTCGATGCTCAGCGGAGCTGATCGAAGTGGCTGTGGTAGTGACTCAAATGAGGTCATCCCCCAAAGCTTTAAAATTCTCTTCCGTTCGGTAATTCTTCTTGTGTGAATGCATTATAACCACGTGTTGTCACCCAAGCCTTTCAAACATGGGCTCAGTCTCGGGCCGCGCTGATCATCAGAGATGGTCCGGATAATAACCTGGTCAGTATGTCAGGTTGAACCAGAATGGACTATTATGTCAGCGGCTGACGGTTTATGATTTAAGAACTGAGCTCAGCGACTCCTGAGTACATAGATTATCTTCATTCACTCCCAGTGTTCTATCCGCTTGCGCTATAATCGAATCGTCTAGCACAGTTCAGAGGCAGATTTGTCGTTGCGGATCAGCATCCTCGTCTGCTCGCTTCCAGATTCTATGGACGCGGAGAAATATATCACGTCTGACTCGACCCCCGCCACTGCCACCACTCCCGCCTTGACCCCCACGCAGCGGCTGTCGCCACCATCGGATGTTATAACCACCCAATAGTGTCGATAAGCGGTTGACTGATGAGGAGGCGCCTCTGCTCGAGAAGGACAATATTTCGCAGCTTCCAAGTTCTCCAGTACTTCGCAGTGAGTGCCTTGGCATGTTTACTGTATACACCTGACATTTGCATAGTCCTACTTTCTGCCGCCGGCAGCATCGATGAAGCACGCTTAGAACACGCACTCGCAGATGAAACATACTGGATACAGCTGAGAGCAGATCTCGTGTGCCACCTCGAACTCGTGATTTCCGGCTCTACGACTTTCTCGTGTCTTGCACCGACACCCGTATTTCTCATCCAGCGCGCCATATCTTCCCAATTGCTACCCGTCTCGACGTTATTCGACCGGTGTACTCCTTATCCGTATATCCTCGCATGGCTTATCTGTCTAGTCTGGAGCTTCCTGGTTTCTAAGGTGTGGTTGTTTGTGCTCGTGGACTTTTCTGCCTCGTCACTGCAGGTGAGCATACACCCACTTTTGAGTTATCTTTTTATTTCAAAGTTTTTGCAGGAACGCTGTCGGAGAAATGTGACATGTATCACATTCTTTTTCTTCCTAGCGTTGCCCACGTACCTCCTGATAGCGTCACTGGCCTTCTTCGATATAGCTGTGTTGGTTGGGACATATCTTTCAGGCAGCTTGTTCCTCAGAATTATAGGCCTCATGGCCACTAGTCTCTCTGTATTGTATATGTCTGTGTTCGTATGACATGTCATTGTGTAGTTTACACGTTCGATTGTTGATTTCATGACATGCCTTTCTGCGATGGCAAAGTACTTACTTCATGTTAGTCGCCTGGCAGGAGATGCAGACCAAGTTTTTGAAAGTTGTAGTGGTGAGTCTGGTAAGGTGGTTGACCGTTGAAGTGAATTTCGTGTCACGAATGCTAAGCTGAGAGGCTGGAGCTCATTGATTTACTCTCTGCTGAAAGTTGGAGGCGGCAGAAGCGAGGTTATCTGCTCGTTCGTGATGCATGATGTCTTGTACATGAGCATCGGAAGTCCAAATTTTGGCCGCGAGAAAAGTGATTTTTGGGTGTTCATTTGAGTTTTGAAAACCCCCTCGATCGAGGAGGCGACGAGTTAAAAACATGTCAAGATGGAATTTGAATGCGCGTTTCAATCACGTGGCAACGTAGTAAGCACGTGAGGAACGCGACACCTAAATCTAGTTCAAGTCTTCAACGCGCTGTTTAAGTTTTGAAACTTCGCATTGCCTCGACGTTGTTCTGCTCTTGTAATCACATCTCTATAATCTAGCACAGTATATTATGACCCACAACTGCATTGACTGGGACGCCGTACCACTACGTTTCCTGACGATATCGTATGCTAGCAAAAAGGTGGTGACACGGAAGGGTCCGGCATCCAAAGTTCGCGAGTTCAAAGTGCGTGTCATGTTAACCTCTCTTGTGAGTTTTGAATCATTTGTGGTCGTATCAGTCCCTCCAATCTTTTGCGCACCGGAAATTTGCTATCCAAGGCCGCCCAGTCTCATCCCTGTGCTTCCGAACGACCTGCAACCTTAGCTTCGTGCCTTGTAAAGATGACGCAGCCTTTGAGGTCGATGAAGAGGCATGGGAAGAAGAAGGCTTGATGGACCTTGTCTGCTGTCTGGAGGTGTACTTGGAGGAGGTTATGCCTGGTCCATCCGGCGAAGAGGCATTACAACTTGTTGAAGAAGAACATGAAGATACTCGGGTGCACGAGCAAGCCCGAGATTCTGACGAACTGGAAGATACAGAGGGAGAATGCAGTGATATAGCAAAGGACAATAACAATGTCGAGGAGGACGATGCACAGGACGAGGACGAGGCGGAGAAAGAGCAGGATACAGAGGAGCAGGAGGAGGAAGAGGAAGAGCAGGAGGAGAACGAACAGATGGAGGAGAAGGAGGCAAGTACTGTGCGGACTAGGCCATCCGGTCGCCGACGACGGGTCATTATGTCTGATGACGAAGATAGCCCAAAGGCGATTGACCGTAACTCAAGACTGGCTGCAGAGTTGCAGCAGATACAAAAAGCTCCTGTCGTTGGTGACCCTCAGCCCTCGGCACTCAGTGCTAAGAACCGAACGACTATTGTTCGTGCACAAAATATGCCGCATGTCCCTGGTGAGTCGCTCCTGTCTGTTACACAGGTATGTGTGACAACGAAATATATAGATACAGAACGACCGATTAAGAGGGAAAAGGAAACTCCTGCGCATCGCGTGCAAGTGTCGTCAGTTGCTGGAAGCTCGCAAGAAGGCCGAGCCCCCTTCGAAACACATGAACCACTAGGTAGTGCATCTCCTTCTTTGTCGTCTGAGATCTTACACATAAACATTAGGCCAACCTATCAAAGAAGAGCCAAATTCAAGTTCTGCAGGGCGAACGGTGTCTCAGCCTCAAGCGACTCAGGCCACTCAAGAATGTACGTTGTTTGTACAATCATCCATCTTTGCCATGACTCCACATGATTCTACATAGCCGAACTAGCGCCTGAGCTTGCACACACCAAAATCGTCATTAGCATCCAGCACAAACCCTCCGCGCAGCACGCACAGTTCAGCACGAAGCCCCATACACGAATAGGCAAAGTTCTTACCGGTGCATGCAAGAGCTTCCGCTTGGATGTTAATGTGTCAGTGCTTCTGACGTTTGTGTGTTGGGTATTCCTTGGCTCATATTTTCACTCTGCAGAGCGCAACTCTACTTAGTGGTGGTAACGCAAAATGACCAGGGCTTGAAGGAGGAAGATTATTTCTTGTGCGACCGAAATGAGACAGTGGAAGCCGCTGTTATGGGCGTGGAAGGGAGGGCAGATTTTATGATTCGCATGCCTGAAGATCCTACAAAGTAGGATTGTGGAAAGCCAGTGCAGTGTGCTGTGCAAGGAGTCTGTGTTCGTCTGTCTCACCTTTGCTGAAGACAAAATTGAATTGGCTCCCGCAGCAAATCATCTTCATACGCATATACTCACAGATACATTTTTATCCGTCGTACCACAGGATCAGTACTAGTACCTGGCCACCTATGACCGTCGCAATGTTAGTGATGGGGTTGGCTCGTGACATCCATCGGACCTCCGAGTGAGTTGTGTCGGTCTGTTATCTCACTCGATTTATGAAGATCAAGTCCAAGGTATGAAAGCTGATTAGCAGGACCGAGCTCGGCAGTACACAACTCCAGCTTCATGTCTTGCGTTGTTCATCTCAAGTATGGTCTATGATCGTGGTCCCCCGTACTCAGGTCATTCAAGCAGAAAGGTAAGGCATCGACTGCCTTCCTTCTTGCATGGTTTGAGCACGGCCCTGCCAGTCATTCTTTCTTGATAGTTGTATCATATCATGACCAAGTTGATATCAGTGATAGTTTGGAATCCGAATAGATGACTGCAAAATGGCAAGAGCCGCAGACGTGGTTTACCAGGTGGGGATTTTGATGTTATCATCAGCCTGCGACATGCATCAATGGTCTCGCACCAGGTCGCCGTGGCCAAAGTGAAGTGGTGCATCGTCATTTAACGCTTGACGTATCAACAAGGCACTGTATTACGCACCTACACTCCTTGTGTAAGGGTCTACAATCGCACACACTTGAGGATGATAATGAGTCCCTTCCGTATTTGACTGGCTGGGTGTACGTGCAGTCATCATTCTCCCGCAGTAACTCGTGGCTGGCAATTGCGACGCTTTCGTATGCACTAACAAAGAAAATGATCTCGTCGCATACAAATTCAATAGAAATCGTACACGCAATCCATACAATCCAAGTTACACCTTGCTGATGTAGTACTTTAACGAAAGATACAAATATCGATTTGCCTACTTGGGCTTGGGCTTGGGGCCCCTCGAAGAACTTTGTTCAAAAGCGCTTTATCCGAAAGCACTTTGTCCGAAAGCACTTTGTCCGAAAGCACTTTTTCCGAAGGCACTTTGTCCGAAGGCGCTCTGTCCGAAGGCGCTCTGTCCGAAGGCGCTCTGTCCGAAGGCGCTCTGGCCGAAGGCACTCTGTCCGAAGGCCGGTTGTGGGGAAGGGGTTGGTTCCCTCTCTGTCGGCGAATTTGCAAGCGCAAGCGCTCGAGGATGGCACTGCAGCAGGAATTTTTGGTACAAATCAATGATAATATCGGCACCATGAGGTAATTGCGAATCAACGATCCTCCTGATCAGCGAAGGCATATTCTGGATAACAGGGGCGGACGCGATGTGCTGGATTAGGACTTGTACTTGCATCTGCAGGATTGCAGGATACCTGATATCACGTGAGCTGGTAAACGGCCTGCTCAAGGAAATGACGAACTTTGATGTGAATGAAGAGGAAAGCTCTTGGAGAATGTTTTCTGCATTCAAACTATTGCGTATTGCGTCGAAAGCTTGGTCACGAACACTGTCAAGTCGAACCTGACCGTTGTGTGTTAGGGTATTTGAGGAGTATAAGGCAAGTTTGCTCGAACCTTACACCCTAAACGATACATGGACTTTGGTGAGCAAGGCCACCACGTGCTAGGGTTAGGGCCCTCCACATGAGCTCTGGGCTGTCCCTGAGACTTGAGTGGGGAGAAGACGATCTTGTTCGTGTACAGATATAGCAAGAGCGCTTTCCATCTGATACATAAATCAAAGGCCTGCCACCATATGATGGCTTGCGACTTACGTCCTGAATGCCGTGTCTCGAACTAGTATGTTCCGGCAGTTGACAACTGATAGTTTGTGTTGAATTGAAGGAGAGGTAATTGGTGTCACTGCTTGTGGTGGGATGAGATCGTGGATAGTTGAGTCAACTTTGCACCTACCATCCGCCACAACAAGTAAACCATCGTCATTTTCATCCGATTCACTCGTGTTTCCTTACAAGAGACGTCAGAACGTACATCGCCGATCTTTTGAATCACTTACCCTTGGTGGCGGCGTTTTCGTTGGTGACTGGCGTTTGACTAGCTTTTTCAACTTCTTCGTCTTCAAGATCGCTGTCAGAAGCATATCCATAATCATCAAGCGTCACGCCATCCTCGAACGCTGAACCATCGTCGAAGTCGACAAACGTAGCATCAGGTGGTCCTGTTCTGGACAATACTGTCAACTCTGCTTGTAAGCAAGCTCACCACCTTCATGTGCGGAAGATAACTTACGCTCGGCCAAAAAATCGGAGCGCGCTGTCAGAACAACGTCGTTGGTGGACAAAGCCTGCAGTTGGGAGACTTTACGTGAATGTGCTGAGCGGCCTGAAAATAGGTGGAACTTCGTATCAACGAGCTCTTGGCCAAGTATTGATTTCATCAAGAGCGCTTCAACAATCGCTTGATGGTCCGACATCGTAGAGGACTGAAGGGTTGTGGGCTCGATTCTACATGTGCAAGAAACTGATGTTTTTATGCTCACTCTGGGCGTTAATGGATGCGTGCGCACGGCATGGCCACTTGCCTTCTGCGATACCTTCGAAGCCATGCGACGATACGATAAGGGGCCACGAGGATCTATCATGGTCCCTGCTCGATCGGGGACCGGGTAGATTGAAACGGCCAAGAATATCGACCATTTCTGTGATAATATCCGCGTGTCGCGAGCGTCCCCATCCATATATCAATCTAGGCAATTGTGTACTAGGTAGCACCACATATATATGAATGCTTCCCACCAAGCAGGTCCCTGTAAAAACCTGACGGATAATTTTTTGGAGTTAGATCATGTTTCTTTCATCTTCATGCACAAACGTGAACTTCACGTGTGTGCATGAAGATGGGGTCCAGCTTGGGTTCAACCTGAATCTTGAAAGCGTGCGTCCTTCCGTGCCCTGCCTAGAATCTGTGCAAACCCAATGTGCTCCAAATCTAGCGTGCTGACAGTGGAAAATGAAGTACTGATCGATCGATCGATCATTGTGAAATAGATGAAGACATAAACATATAGTAAGAGTTTGAGGGAAAGATCTGCGCGTAGTAGATGTGTCACGCGTGACGCTGACTAAAGAAATGAGGGGTACGGGTAACACCGCGGTTCTGGTTTGGCGAGTACGGGTACGGTGTAGGATAGAGCCTGTCCACATAGGATAATATATTTCACTGTGCTAGCAGAAAAGGGAATTTCACGGGTGGCTTGTTTCCTCGAAGGTGGAGTAGTCTATCGCAGGATCGAGCAAACAATACCTTCTATCTCTAACGCGCTCAGTTTTTCCAGAGAAGAGTTCTATAACTCTTGTCCTTCCCCATCATCTAATTTAAATCTTCTCAAACCATCTCGTACCGTCCAAGGCACCTCTTCCTCCCAGTGGCTAATAACAAGCACTGCTTGGTCGGATCCAACACCGCCCTCGCAAAGGTAGCGCCTCGCAGCGCGAACCATATTTTCGTCCATACCACTCCAGACTTCGTCCAGCAAAACAAGTTGGGCTTCGTTCGGTGCCAACAGCTCGTCGCCAGCGGCGAAACTGCCACTTTCTGTCTCCCAGGAAGTCGGACCGAGGCCGTTGAGGACCTCGCGGACGCGTTTCACTCTCCATTGTCTGGTTTCGTTGTTGAGTGCGCCATCTAGACCCCTGCCGACGCCGTCCTTTCCACCAGGGACGAAACCGCCGTCAAATCCTGTGCCTACGACGTCGAACACACTAATGCCAGCGCGTCGCGGGTATGCATTCGCAAGCTCTGGTGAAACGACGCCAATGAGCGAACGTAAGAGTGGAGTAGGGATACGCTGCCGAGGTCGGGAGAATAGCTCGAGGTTCGAACCACCTCGCTGAGTGTAAGACTGGGGATGGTCGCCAGTCAGAAGCGAAATAAGTGTAGTTTTCCCGGAACCTGGTTGGAATTGGTCAGAATCTTGAAGCTTCAGTTTCGTAGAATTTTGACGCACCATCTGCGCCTTTAAGATGCCAGCGCTGGCCTTCGCGAATGGTCCAATTGATGTTTTTGAGCACCTAGATCAATACAGCGTCATTGACACGGAAACAATAAAGGGCGATGTATGAAAAATCACGCCCAAGATAAGTCCAAGATATGACGCTGATTAGCAGGACCGAGCTCGGCAGCACACAACTCCAGTTTCATGTCTTGCGTTATTCATCTCAAGTATGGTCTACGATCGTATTCAGGTCATTCAAGCAAAAAGGCGAGGCATCGACTGCTTTCCTTCTTGAATGTTTTGAGTACGGCCCTGCCAATCATTCTTTCTTGACAGATCTATCGGTATTCCGTATCATAACCGAATTGACATCAGTGATAGTCTGGAATCCAAATAGAAATGGCAAGAGCCGGGGATGTGGTCTACTAGGTGGGGATTTTGGTGTTATCACCAGCCTGCAACATGCATCAACCAGGTCATCGTGGGCAAAGGGGAGTGGTGCATGGTTGGATAAGGCCTGACGTGTGAACAAGGCACTGTATTACGCACCTACACTCTTTGTGTAAGGGTCTACACACACTCGATGAATCCCTCCCGTATTTAACTGACTGGGTGTACGTGCAGTCATCATTCTTCCGCAGTGGCTCGTGGCTGGCAATCGCGACGATTGTGTATGCAATAGCAGGGAAAACAGTCTCGTCGCAACAGCAATCGTAGACGCAATCCATACAATCCAAGTTACACATTGCTGATGTAGTACTTCAACGAAAGATACTGATATCGATTCGCTTACTTTTTCTTGGGCTTGCCACCTTTCGAAGAACTTTGTCCGAAGGGACTAGCGGGCACTCCACTTTGTCCGAAGGCACTAACAGGCACTCCCGCTTCACTTTTTCCGGTGACACTAACAGGCGTTACCGCTGCACTTTGTCCGAAGAGACCTTTTCCGAAGCTACCAACAGGCGCTGCCGTTCCAAAGGTACCAAAGGGGTGAGGTGACGGTTCCTTCTCTGTCGGCGCATTTGCAGGCGCAAGCGCTCGAGGATGGCACTGCAGCAGGAATTTTTGGTACAAATCAATGATGATATCGGCACCATGGGGTAATTGCGAATCAACGATCCTCCTGATCAGCGAAGGCATATTCTGGATAACAGGGGCAGACGCGATGTGCTGGATTAGGACTTCTACTTGCATTTGCAGGATTGCAGGATACCTGATATCACGTGAGCTGGTAAACAGCCTGCTCAAGGAAACGACCAACTTCGATGTAAATGAACAGGAAAGTTCTTGGAGAATGTTATCTGCATTCAAACTATCGCGTATTGCATCGAAAGCTTTGTCACGAACACTGTCAAGTCGAACCTGACCATTGTATATTAGCGTATTGGGGAGTGACAAGGCAAGTTTTCTCGAACCTTACACCCTAAACGATACATGGACTTTGGTGAGCAAGGCCACAACGTACTAGGGTTAGGGCCCTCCACATGAGCTCTAGGCTGTCCCTGAGACTTGAGTGGGGAGAAGACGATCTTGTTCGTATACAGATATAGTAAGAGCGCTTTCCATCTGGTACATAAATCAAAGGCATGCCACCATTATGATGACTTGTGACTTACGTCCTGAAGGCCGTGTCTCGAACTAGTATGTTCCGGCAGTTGACAACTGTATGTTGAATTGGGGAAGAGGTGATAGGCGTCACTGCTTGTGGTGGGCTGGCTGGGATGGGATCACGGACTGCCGAGTCAACTTTGCAACTACCGTCCGCTACGACAAGTAAACCATCATCATTTTCATCTGATTCACTCGTATTTCCTTGCAAGACACGTCAGAACGTACCGTAGTCGCTGGTCTTCTTTTGAATCACTCACCCTTTTTGTCGTTGGTCGGCGTCTGACTAGCTTCTTCTTCTTCTTCTTCTTCTTCTTCTTCTTCTTCTTCTTCTTCTTCTTCATCTTCAAGATCGCTGTCAGAAGCATATCCATAATCATCAAGAGTCATGCCATCCTCGAACGCTGAGCCACTGTCGAAGTCGACAAACGTAGTGTCAGATGGTCCCGTTCTGGACAATACTATCAACTCTGATTGTAAGCGAGCTCACCACCTTCATGTGCGAAAGATAGCTTACGCTCAGCCAAAAATTCGGAGCGCGCTGTCAGAACAACGTCGTTGGCGGACAAAGCTTGCAGATGGGAGACTTTGCGTGAATGTCCTGAGCGGCCTGAAAATAGGTGGAACTTCGTATCAATGAGCTCTTGGCCAAGTATTGATTTCATCAAGAGCGCTTGAACGAGCGCTTGATGGCCTGACATCGTGGAGTACTGAAGAGTTGTGGGCTCGATTTTACAAATGCAAGAAACTGGTGTTTTTATACTCACTCTGGGCGTTAATGAATGTGTACGTACTACGCACGGCGTGGCCACTTACCTTGAGGGGCCACGAGGATCTGGCCCTGCTCAATTGGGGTTATTTTGAAAGCGTGCGTCCTTCCATGTCCTTCCTAGAATTTGTGCAAGTCCGATGTTCTCCAAACCCAGCGTGCTGGTGGGCACTGATCATTGTGGAATAGATGAAGACATAAACACAGTAAGGGTTTGAGGGAAAGATTTGCGCGTAGTGAGCGCTAGTGAACGTTTGAACAGTAGACAGTGCGTCACGCGTGACGCTGACTTATAAAGGAGCGTGGCTGCCTGACTGGTATATTTCACTATCCAGCTAGTGGAAGAGGAACTTTACAGGTAGCCTCGAAGGTGGAGTAGTCTATCCGACTCTATCGAAGGATCAAGCAAACAATACCTTCTATCTCTAACGCGCTCAGTTTTTCTCCTAGAATTTGTACAAGTCCGATGCTTCTCCAAATTTAGCGTACTGGCAGTGGGCACTGATCGTTGTGGAATAGATGAAGACATAAACACAGTAAAAGTTTGAGGGAAAGATCTGCGCGTAACTTACGACATTTACCCTTGGCAAGGTGAATTTGGTCCATTAAATCGACTTAGTGAGCGCTACTACAAGCGAGCAGTAGACAGCGCGTCACACGTGACGTTGACTTATAGTAAAGCCTTGAGCCTGGCTGCCAGTGGCTGGTATATTTCACTACTTGGAAAGGGGAATTTTACAGGTGACCTCGAAGTTAGAGTAGTCTATCAAAGGATCAAGCAAACAATACCTTCTATCTCTAACGCGCTCAGGTTTTCCAGAGAACAGTTCTAGAACTCTTGTCCTTCCCCATCATCTAATTTAAATCTTCTCAAACCATCTCGCACCGTCCAAGGCACCTCTTCCTCCCAGTGGCTAATAACAACCACTGCTTGGTCAGACCCAACACCACCCTCACAAAGGTAGCGCCTCGCAGCGCGAACCATATTTTCGTCCATACCACTCCAGACTTCGTCCAGCAAAACAAGTTGGGGGCGGCTCACAAGTGCCCGCATCAACAGAACGATACTCTGTTCGCCTGCGGAGAGATCCACGAATTCCCGTTTCGAAAATACTTCGTTCGGTGCCAACAGATCGTCGCCAGCGGCGAAACTGCCAGTTTCTGTCTCCCAGGAAGTCGGGCCGAGGCCGTTGAGGACCTCGTGTACGCGTTTCACTCTCCATTGTCTGACTTCGTCGCTGAGTGCGCCCTCTAGACCCCCGCCTACGCCGTCCTTTCCACCAGGGACGAAACCGCCGTCAAATCCTGTGCCTACGACGTCGAACACACTAACGCCAGCGCGTCGCGGGTATGCATTCGCAAGCTCTGGTGAAACGACGCCAATGAGCGAACGTAAGAGTGGAGTAGGGATACGCTGCCGAGGTCGGGAGAATAGCTCAAGGTTCGAATCACCTCGCTGAGTGTAAGACTGGGGGTGGTCGCCAGTCAGAAGCGAAATAAGTGTAGTTTTCCCGGAACCTGGTCGGAACTGGTCAGAATCCTGAAGTTTCGTTGAATTTTGAGTCTGTGACGCACCATTTGCGCCTTGAAGATGCCAGCGCTGGCCTTCACGAATGGTCCAATTGATGTTTTTGAGCACCTGGATCAATACAGCGTCATTGACATGGAAACAATAAAGGACGGTGTAGTTGCCTTGCGTGGGCCGTATGATACGTTTACGTTCTGCATGTCGACTACAGGCTTTCCATGATCAAGGCCGGGCTGCAGATATGACTGAGTGGTGCTTGCCATTCTATGTTCAACTTCCTTTGCGTGATGTTCCGCGTGCTTGGACATGATTTCATCCTTTACACCTGTCAAGATAGTTTCGCCCGTCACTAGAGCAATGTGCGAAATCCAGTCAGGAACAGGGTCCTGCATCCTGAGACCCATGATAATGCGTGGACTGCGAGACTCATGCAGTGACCGAAGAACATTCAACAAGACTGGGCGGGTGTTGACGTCAAGGCCGGCTGGGTAAAGTACAGAAATTATACTTTGTGCTCGTCGAATTTAAGTTCAATGACTCACTCAAAGGTTCGTCAAGTACGAGGAGCTCTGGTTCAGACAAAATAGCCTTCACAATGCGTGCTCGACGCGTCTGGCCATTTGATAAAGCAATTAAAGGCAAATCCAATAGAGAGGAAAGACCTAGTCTCGAAGTTAGGTCCTCAAAGATGCCCTTCTTTGCTTCGTCCTGTGCAATTTCAACGGGAGTTTTCACCTTTCCACCTTTCGGCTGGATGTTCAGAAAGTCGTATTCTCCAAACATACTTTCCCGAAGGGTGATACGGTCTTCTTCTCTTACTGCGCCGTATCGAGAAGTGTAGTCATAGAAGGCACCACCTGCTGCACGGGGCCGATGCGCGAATGATACAAGAGCCACGCAGTTGTGTGGGTCGCGTGGAGGATCCGAGAGGAAAGGAAATAGTCCTCCAGGTAAGGGTGGAGGAGGAGTTATACGTAGGTGACCTAGGAGTGTCTAAAGCGCAGCGTAAATTTGTCAATGTAAACACTTTGGAATATTAGCATGACACACCTGCAAAAGGGCTGTTTTTTGCTTCGATCCCGTCCCTATTACAGCCCAGCTTTCACCCTCGTCGATAGTCCACTCAACATCACGGAAGACCGGCGCCGCGAAGTTTGGGTCACCAAAGCGAAAAATGTTGGACCGTGAAATCTGGACGATAGATTTGGTATCTCTGTTTACTGCTGCACGATCGCTGTAAAGTCTAGCGATTCCAAACACCACGTCAGAAGGAGGGACCATGAATATAAACTTACAACTCGCCTCGACTTTGATGCAATTCTTCTTGTTGCAAACCCGACTGCCTTTTGGCTCCTTCTTGCGAACATTTCTCACTACAAGTCAACAGGAGCAAGAGGAGCGCGTATAAATTACAGATCAGTAGAGGACGATACGAAGGCCCAGGGCCAGCACTGAGCAGGCTGTTATGCACAAGGTCGAAGGTGACTTAGATATGTAACAAACATTGTACGTTACATAAATTGAGCTCAACCTGATTGGAACTGGTAATCCAAAATTAGAACTTCGGCCCCACGATTAGATGTTTCTAGTCCGCTAACTTGAGCGATTTTTGTGCGACACCCTTGGTATGATAATCATAGGTGTTGAACTTTTTGAACCATCAGGAACAGATAACTTCTGAAATAGGGATAGCACTCACTATGCATTCCTCGAAGAGTACACTGGAATTGATGATGCCCTCATACACCATCTCAGCGACAATCTGTGGCAAATGCACCGATGGAGCATCATCAACAGCGCCCTGTATCACCTGCTCATTCCGAGACGGATCATTGACATCTGGAAGTGTGGACTTGAAGCGGGTTGCCTCTCTGACGTACGAAGCTCTGCGTGCACAAATCTCAGTGATATGAAGAATCCTATAAACTCTCTTAGACGCACCTTGTTGACAATAGTTGCAATAGCTGTGCATCAATGGTGTCCAAATTGTCTCGAATTTCGTTCAGCGAAGAACAGCATGTCGTACCATTTGCGTATTTTATTGTTGGTTCGCCCCATGGTACGGTACGGTTGGCAGTGGAGGGTGGTATGGAAGGGAGAGGGATGAAATAACATTTGTCAGAAAAGTCTGAAGAGGACGCCACGGCAAGGCCAATGATTTGAAGGGCAACAAGAAAACGTAACATCCTGGTTGCCTCTTGGCTTTTGAAATGAACTGTAGTGGTTGGAGTTTTATAACTTCCTGGAAATCGGCTAATCATTCTTCTTACGTTGATATTGTTATGTATACGTAGCCCAGCTGCTTGGTGCCAGCGTTCAATATTTCAATCAGTATATCTTTCAAGTTGTATTTTTGACGTGGCGTGTAGAACTGTGGTGCTGGCCAGGCTGGCATTCACGCCTAGCTACAATGATTCGGAAACAATTGAATTTCTGTATTGACGATCCGAGAACTAGAGTCTAGACTCATCTGCGCGCTCCGAAGATTATTCGACATTACATAATACAAAATTTGGAACGTTCTTGAAGAGCTACGTCACAACACTCCTGAAATTCACACCCTAAGCAGCATCAACACTTGTGTTCGAAAGGCAGCAGAGAAAGACATACTCACTCAGTTGCCGGACACTGGAAGTTATTCCCATCAGGATCCACCTTACAGCATTTGTGACAGCTACACGGTATGTATGATACAACGCTCCCTTTAGGTCCGCAGGTATAAGCGTAATCGTTCCCGTTGTTATAACCTTTGAGGCCTGTCACGGAGCACAGCACTGTATCTGTGAATAACCGTAAGTACGCAGTCTGCACGTAGGCCGCAAAGGGCTCACTAGCGGGGCCGCAGGGTGTGCCCATGGGTGTTATAATCAGATCATCAGATGCGATAGCTATGCCAGCCATCGCTGCGGCAGATACGACAATAGTGGTGAGTGAAATGAATTTCATGGTCGAATACTGATGGTGTTTTCTGGACTGGGGTGGGTACTAGGTGGCCTTTTATACACAATTAGTGTGAGGTGCAGCCAAACACTTTGCATCGCCGGAGAAACAGATGTCAGCTCACGCTATGGCATAATTTTTCTAGCCCATTCTTTTGGGATGGGTGCAGGGCAGGGTTCGGTGAACTTCGATCAAAGGGTGATTTTCTGCGGGCTCGAATAATGCAGAATAGAATATGGTGCGGATTATAATTTTATCCTTTCGGGAGGTGTGCCGCAATGCTTAGTTGTACTTTGGCGTGGCGTGTACTGGTTTGGCACTGCTAACACCCGCTGACGGCGATTGAATGTCATCCTTAAAGCCCGCACAGGTTCCAATTGAAACTCCCTATTCGCTGAACATAACTTTTAGCCTGCGTCGACCCGCGAGGAACCATGTGATCGACGGGCTGTCAAAATTCCAATTCAATAGATACTACATAACTTGCTCGAGCCTTGGCAAATATTCAAACCTCAAATTCCCACCCGGCGTCAAATAGTGCAGCTGAGCCCTTGGTGACGACCGCCCACTCCGGCAAGAAAAGGAGTACCTCCTCCAATGATGGAATCTTGCCCTCAGTACGCCCCCCACCAACCGTAGCACTCTCATACTCTGCCCAACCGCAGCTCACGCGTCCCGTGGCTTTCTCATCCTCGTTTCCTGCAAATACAACATCCACTTCAAACTCCTTTTCCCAATCCCGGCTCCACAGCCGTATTTGCTCGAGCCCGTCTTCAGGCACCTCAGAGCCGCCTTGCAAACCTTTTCCGCCGTCACCAGAAAGATGGAATTCTTTCACGCGTTTGCCCTGAGAATTGGAGAGTGCAGCTTCGAGTGTTCAATCCTTGTACCTTGATGCGCGCGCTGTTCGATCCCGTACGCTTGATGGATGTGGTTACCCATTTCTCCAGGGAGGAAGTAGGGCCCTGTCCATAATGACGCTCGCTTCTACCCGGAGAGGGCACAAACGCATCCCCAACCTCCCATTTACAAGTTTGCAGGCCGAGCTTGTCTGGAGCATCTGTACAATTGAGGGCTTGGTTAAATGCAGACGGGAATCGGGGGATAATCACGGTCGACAGGAATTGATGAGGCCCAGTTAGTTCGGTGACCACACGAGACGTGTCTAGGTCCACGCTTTGAGCGAAATAGACCTTGAGTGGCGTCTCTTGTGAGAATGGGAACGCAAGATAGGTGTAAAGTGTCGACAAGACGAAGATCAGGAGAATGATGGTGTTCAGCCAGCGATGCATGTTCATACTGAATGGTGCAAGGGGAAGCACAATGAGTAACGCCAGCATCGAGATTACTCCATAAACTGCACGGCACGTCAGCTCACGAAGGCCAGCGCAATACAGGATCCGTTAAAACACTCACCACCAAACGGACTGGCTCCGTCTGTGAGCGTCTGGTTCATCGCAAATAATACGATGACCGCGATATGAGACACTAGGATAACAGGCAGCGGAACAACAACCAACAGCTGGGCAATCCACCAGCCAATAGCACCCTGCTCTTCACCTAACGGGGTGGACTGGTCATGCTGAGCGATAAGAGGTGTAATCTCTGTCGGCTCAGTTTCCTCAATTACGTCCACATGCTGGCGCCCGTTTTCGGAGTCCCGATGACCATTCTCGGCGGTGCCAACGGCATCGTAGTGGACACCATGCACGTAACGTCGTTGCCTTTCAATCTCTTCCTCGTCTTCGTATCCACGAGCGCCAGCCATGCCTTCCACACACGCAAACACGGCTCCAAGGAGAACCACCGCGTTCCAAGCAGTTATGAAATATGTTCCCCCAAGTGTGAGGACTGATGTTGTGTATACGAGCAGCGCCCATGTCAGAACATACTGATGGAGGAGGATAGACAGCTTTTGCTGTTCTGGAGCAGGGACAACACCATGTTTTGTCAGTGGAAAGGTGAGAGCAAGGACTATTGTGAGATAAGCCAGCGACCACGCAGACAAAAGCACAAGCCAAGGGTGCGTATGAATGACCTGACAATTGATAAGCGAGTGAGCGCGGAGAACGAGGAAGTAGACACTCACGAATGGATTCAGCTTCGCATATCCGACCACTAAAAGCATCTGGAGGCCAACACCAAGCAACAAAGCGATCCAGAATTTGGACCAGACCCAAAAACTTTTGAGGAAATGTTTTATTTCCACCGACGCACGCGCCACAAAGCTCTCGCGGTGTACATCACCATTTGCAGCGCGATAGTATCCAGAACGAATACGAGACGTGACTCTGATGATATGCTCGAAGTAGACCAACATCAGGAGAATAACAGGCCCGACGGTAAGGAGGATGATGTTCACGATCCACAGAGTCTGGAATGTGAACACGATCATAATGGCACCAAAAACTGATAAGAGGAGGGTTATAGATGGAGCCAGGTGGAATAGCAAGGAAAGAACCCACGGTCGAAATACACTGGCTCACTTCCCTGTCCAACGGACTCGGTCCTCGTCTTTCCCTTTGCATCGTTTGCAAGCACGAGACTCGAGGACAGTGTTCCTTCCATCATAGCCCATAACGCGTTTTTGCTCTTGTCATCGGACATACCAGGGATAGAGTCGTACTTCGTATGATACCTGCTCCTGCCACGGTAGAAAGCAAAATCTAGCCCCTTGAGTCCAGCTTGCTCGTAAACCGAGTAGTCTGTACCACTGCGAATAACACCACGCGAAAACGCATCGCCAGTGATGACATTTGCGTGGGGACGAGAAGTGCTCCAGGATGCCAGAGGAGCGCGAGAAGTCGCTCGGAAAAGTAGTGGCCGTCTTCAAGATTTCAGTCAGCAAAGTAATACAACACAGTTGCATTAAACTGTTCACCCTCCTGCCGCGGCACCTTCAAGGTTCAAGAAGGTATCAGTGATATTGGCCCACGGATGCTCCATGAAACTGACGAGCCAAATGAGTGAGTGAAATGCAAAAGTAGAATTATAGCGTACGCATGCGCTCCATTCAAGCCGTCTTCTTCGCCATTATTGATGTTAAACACCACCGTCCGGCTGGGCCTGTTCTCCGCAAAGTACTTCACCATGCTCAAAAGCGTCACCACGCCCATACCGTCATCCGTTGCTCCAGGAGCAGTACTGACAGAGTCCCAGTGTGCACTGAGCAGAAGCCCGCCTGATTCCTGATACTCCTTATCAGTCCCCTCGACCTTGACCAATACATTGTCGGACTCGTAGTATACTGCGTACGGGTTGGTGGAGAGTAGTCCTGAAGCCCAAGACGCATTTGAAGAAAGGTCGAAATCCACGGAAACATGATCATAGGAAGAAGCAATGTCCCTGCACTCGGTCCAAGATGTAGGAACGAACTAAAACATTGGCGTGTGAGTTGAAAGGATGCGGACGAGCAGCCACCTGAAAGAGCTGAATTGAACCAGTTGCATATCTATGAAAACAAACACACCTCGTGCAAGTCTCTGTATGTCTGCTGAAAATCCAAGCCCCGTGTATGCTTGGGCACAGACGGGAGCTGATCGGTGATCAGCAAAGTGCTGAAGACTGCCGCATAAATGACCGTTATGAGGATAGTGGTTGGAATAGTGCGAAACGCGAGCACAGCGGATAGCCCGCTAAGGAACCCCATGTTTGTTTCAGCTTGAACTTCGCCGATCCAATACCGACAGAGCTTATAAGTCGCAAAGCTCAAACTTGGTGCTCAACGTTTGAACGTTAGCTACTAGCGTCTAGTAATGGCTAATTATAAACTTGTTGAATGACGAACATTGTAAATATCGATCAATGGTAGACAACAACGTTACATCAGAAGACCTAGACCAAAATTCATGCTGGAACAAGCTGAAAGAGTCAAGACAGACCGTGACGAAGTAGGTAAGTGTCGCCTAGATTTTACATAGCTAATTCATTCCAGGAAGCGCGTCCTTCAAATGCTCTTTCTTCAGGCATCGTGCAATCACACCACATGTCCTGCACTGCCGCTCCTTCGCTTCAAATGCATCTTCACCATACCCACTGTCCGCTATATCGGGGTGTCTATCATCGTGGTATGGCTTTAGTACCGTCACCGTGAAGGTAACAGGGCGACGACAAGCAGTAGCTTTCGCCAAAGTTCGACTTTAGACAGCGGCAAGTGCCTGGCGGGCGATTAAAGTATGGTACACCTGGGGTTCACAGATTCAGCAATACAAATGGGAGACGGAAGCCATGAAACGTACCTTGCATATCTGGGTGCGTACAATGTTCACAGATGGTGTAATCACAAGTCGTGCACCGCTTGAAGGAGTCTCCTACATCCTCCACATCGTCCTCGTCGTTCTCATCTGGAGGGGTACCACGGAATCGCCCAAAACAACCAGTCGCATTTTGGCGCAGGAATCGGGTTCCGCCGACGCTCTTCCCAAGCCAATTGTTCCATCTGTTTGATGGTGCCCATCATCGACCCCGGCCCACTCCATTTTTTCATCAGTTTTGTCCACCTTGTGTAAGACGGCCGGCTTGGTGCAGACGCTGCGTTTGTGCACCTTCCAGTCAACTTTCTGGCACTCCGCACTAGAAGAAAATTATTGTGTTAGACTCCCCACTAGCGTAGATGCCTGTCACGTACGAGCAGTAGCTGTCCCGACCATCACAAATCAGATAAAAGGTTTTTATCTCTCGTACCAGCTTGTACTCACATAGGTTTTCTGACATTTTGAACATCGTAGCGGCTTTTCACACTCGATCTTGCACACACTGCAATGGCGCATGATGGCGAAGGGAAGAAAGGGTGGAAAACAGCAGGGCTCAAACCTCCAAGGACCGAAATAAGCTGTTCGGTAGCAGCAGGCGCCGCGTGCTAATGCGGGCCTGAACCCTGCATGATTTTATGTCACGGATCATCAGGAAGAGGTGTGTCTCCTTCATTAATATTGCCCATCAGTGGGTGGATGGTCATCTGATACATCAGTGAAACCCTTTGGGCTACTTACCTGCTGCACTTCGATGACTCCGTTCCACCTGTGAGTTTAATATATCATACATATTAAATCCTCCCATACCGGCCATTGAAGTTATCAATAAAACACACCACAGATGTCGTCCAAATTCCTGCTAATATTGTCTATTTCATCCTTGGCGACAAGTCGCAACATCTAGATTGTTACTTTGTTACAACATGCGAATCTCTCAACAATGGATCTTCAGACGGACGCTGTTCTGAGTCTTTCCGTTTCTTCAAGTCTCCAAAAAGTGTCGACATACATGCTTCTCTACCTGAATTGATTGACATAGGTAAATTGAGGCTATTGACGAAGCTTTCAGATGGATGGTGGGTGGCTGTGGTGAGAGCAAACCTGGAGGGAATGCATGAATTGCCAAAGAACGGGTTGGATGCCTGGCTCGAGTTCCTGCAAATCGGTGTCCTTGAATAACGCAATCGTACTAGCTACTTGAGTTTCAGGTGGCGATTGGCACTTAAGTTGTTATAGCTGAAGGTGATGTTGATTCGTGTACTAGTGCTGCTCGACCGTAGCGATCCTCTGAGTCCTATCTCCCTTGTGTTGCTGTTGCCAAGTTCATCCATGCTTGGACCGCAAGACAGCAAGTTCCTTGGATAGCACTCTCACTGTTTGTCCTAGCCACCGCACTTTGTCACGGTCGCGGGACCGACTCATTTTAACCGATTGAGCTGCTAGTCAATAAACGAAACCGACAGCGACGGCGAGCACCCCTACATGAATTTTTGTGCGAATCCCTAGATCCCACTAACAGGCAGATCATGATCGATCATAGATGGCTGGAGTACCCTTCGAAGAGGATAAAAGAGCATCAGTGTATGCGAATACATCGTCATGGTACAAACGATGACTGCTCTAAGATCTCTAGCATCAAAAAAATCATATAGCTACAATATTTCTAGGGTCCTAATGTCCATCATGGAGTGAACAGAAGTCATGTCTCTGACTTGTGCAATGATATCATGATCTGTTGCGACCCTCTTGTATTCTCCGCCGCGCTGCTGTGCTAGCAAAAATGCACTGAAGGACTGTCCAAGGCGAACAATCAATTGCAGTGCTCGCGAGTGGGATTCCGAGTCAGCCATATCCTGCACAGCAGGAGAAATACCGGGCAACTGGTCCAACAGAGACTCGGATTCGGACCAATCTCCCAAACTTGTTAGATCGTCTGTGAAGGCAGGTAGCTCTGCGAAATCAGGCAGCTCGAGGAGACGACGGTCCCATGCACGAACAAGCAAGAATGTCTGTGGAGTTGGCTTTGCCGACGTGAACTGAGTCAGCGTGTCTTTGGTGGTAATCAACAAGTTATGAAGCCCGTCCGCCTTAATTCCGTATGTGAGAAGAGTCTCCTGGGCTATCCCCCGCTTCCGTCTGATCTCCGCGACGCGAAATGCGATGCAAGGTAGATGCAATCTGCAGTTGGCGAAACGAGGAGCATTCATATTTTCAAGCCGGGTATAAAGTTTCAAAGCCAACCCCGCAGCCACTGAATCTCGCAGCGAAGATACCGCTGTCTGAAAATCATTTTCAGACAAAGATGGCGGAGCGCACGGTGGAGC